ACATTCCTCAGTTCTCCACAATGTATATGGCAATGAATCCTAAAAAAAAGAACGGCGTCATTACAACTATAAGAGACTCCCTGAAGTTCCAATTTATTTCGGCAGCAGCGGACCCACAAGGTTGCTACCATATATTGATCTGCAATATCAACGATACTACATACAGTTGCAAGAAAAAGTATGTGAACCCCTTGGGATTACGTGGAGTTTTGCATGAATTGGGCATAAAATGTGCTCTGAACGTCATCTAAGTCACAACAATAGAAGAACACAGTCTGCTGAACATAATACTACACAAACATTAGATGTTGCCATGGTTTAATTGCACATAACATGTAAACATTCGCAGGGAGGAAAAGGTATGTGAACCTTTGGACTTAATAACTGGTTGACCCTCCTTTGGCAGCAATAACCTCAACCAAACAGTTCCTGTAGTTGCAGATCAGACCTGCACAACGATCTGGAGTAATTTTGGACCACTCCTCTTAACAAAATTGTTTCAGTGTAGCAATATTCTTGGGATGTCTGGTGTGAATCGCTCTCTTAAGGTCATGCCACAGCATTTCAATCGGGTTGAGGTCAGGACTCTGACTGGGCCACTCCAGAAGGCATATTCTGTGCTGTTGCAGCCATTGTTTTGTTGAATTACTTGTATGCCTTGGGTCATTGTCCTGTTGCATCACCCATCCTCTGCGGAGCTTCAGTTGGTGGACAGATGATCGTACGTTTTCCTGCAAAATGTCTTGATAAACTCTGGAATTCATTTTCCCATCAATGACAACAATCCGTCCAGGCCCTGAGGCAGCAAAGCAGCCCCAAACCATGATGCTCCCTCCACCATGTTTTACAGAGGGGATGAGGTTTTGATGTTGGTGTGCTGTGCCTTTTTTTCTCCACATATAGTGTTGTGTGTTCTTCCCAAACAACTCAATCTTGGTTTCATCTGTCCACAGTATATTTTGCCAGTAGTGCTGTGGAACATCCAGGTGTTCTTTTGCAAACTTCAAACGTGCTGCAATATTCTTTTTGGACAGCAATGGCTTCCTCCGTGGTGTCCTCCCATGTACTCCATTCTTGTTTAATGTTTTCCTTATTGTAGATGTGTCAACAAAAATGTTAGCATGTGCCAGAGATCTCTGTAGGTCTTTAGTTGACACTATGGGATTCTTCTTTACCTCATGCAGCATTCTGCGCTGTGCTCTTGCAGTCATTTTTACAGGACGACCACACCTAGGGAGAGTAGCAACAGTGCTAAACTTTCTCCATTTGTAGACAGTCTGTCTTACCATGGACACATGAACATCAAGGCTTTTGGAGATACTTACCTTTGTAACCCTTTCCAGCTTCATGCAAGTCAACAATTCTTGATCGTAGGTCTTCTGAGAGCTCTTTTCTGCGAGGCATGGTTCACATCAGACAGTCCTTCTTGAAACCAGTAAACCCAAAACAGGTGTGTGTTTTTTAAGGGCAGGACAGCTGTCAGCAACACATCCAATATCATCACACTGATTGGAGTCAAGGTTGGCTCACTCCTGGCTCCAATTAGCTCTGGGAGAAGTCATTAAGCTAGGGCCTCACATACTTTTTCCTCCCTGCACTGTGACTGTTTACATGTTATGTGCAATTAAACCATGGCAACATCTAATGTTTGTGTAGTATTATGTTCAGCAGACTGTGTTCTTCTATTGTTGTGACTTAGATGACGTTCAGAGCACATTTTATGCCCAATTCATGCAAAACTCCACATAATCCCAAGGGGTTCACATACTTTTTCTTGCAACTGTATACATTGGTGAACGTCTATGGCCCTAACACCAATCAAATTAAATTCTTCAACAAACTTAACTCCACCATAAATCGACACAGAAAAGGCAGACTACTCATCGGTGGGGACTTTAACATCATCGGTAATCCTCTTCTGGACTCCTCATCCAACAAAATATCTTCAAGACAGACCTTCAACCAATTTCTCCATTCCAACGATCTCTACGCCGTCTGGAGATGTCAACACAGTACAGAAAAGGACTCTACCTACTTTTCTCCATCCCACTCTAGAATCGACTTCTTCATCACCGATAAATGGACACTGCAACACATCACCTCCTCCAAGTTTGGCACTATTACTTGGTCAGACCATGCTCCGATCACAATCTCTCTTGACAGCAAACAACATTCATCTGTACCCCAATTATGGCGACTGAACTCGTTCCTGTTGAACAACCAAGTCTACAAGCAACAGATAATTGATGCACACAAAACATTCTTCGAATTTAACGATACCCCTGATATATCCATAACCACTTTATGGTCAACATATAAAGCATACATGACAGGTATTCTGATACAACTAAACGCCCGCATTAACAAAAACAGAACCCAACAAATAGATAACCTCCTAATATCAATCAAAACGAACGAAGAACAAAAAATCTCAAGACCCAAATATCTCTGCGTCTTTGACAGCAGATAGAAATAAATTAAGATCCCTTTTACTCCACAAATAAGATCTAAATCTCCAGAAAATGAGAGCGAATTTCTACTCACTAGGTAACAAAGCCAGCTCGTTGTTAGCAAAATCGGTAAAACAAAAACGGCTGAAATCCAAAATAGCCTCAATTAAACACCCATCTACGAATACCATAAACAAAAACCCCCAGGATATAGCGAACGCTTTTGCAATATACTACCAAAATCTTTACAACCTTAAAAACGACCCTAACACCATTCAACCGACGACCGCGTCCATACAACAATTTCTCCAAACGACCAAGCTTCCTCAGCTATCCTCAGAGCAACTTGACTCCATTTCCTGCCCAATATCGCCCAAAGAAATAGAAACGTCCATTAAAACATTACCAATTAATAAATCACCAGGAAATGACGGATACACTAACGAATACTATAAACATCTTGCCACAGAACTATCACCACACCTGACCAAAATCTTCAATCACGCTGCCACCACAGGCTCATTCCCCAAAGACATGTTGCAATCTATCATAACGACCATACCAAAACCTGGCAAAGACCCCCAACTAGTCCAGAACTATAGACCAATTTCGCTACTCAATACTGACATAAAACTTTACGTGAAAATCATATCCCGAAGAATTCTCCCCTACCTACCCATCCTAATACACTCGGATCAAGTAGGTTTCATCCCAGGTCGACAAGCACCCGATGCCAGCAGAAGAGTTATCTCCCTCCTGCACAATTTAGAAAGTACTAAGACCCCCTCCTTGCTCCTATCTTTGGATGCAGAAAAAGCATTTGACCAGATACATTGGCAATTCATTCAACTCACACTTCAAAAATTTGGCATCACAGGTTGGATGATGAAAGCCATCTTGTCATTATATTCTCACCCAGATGGCACATTATCCGATCCCTTTGACATATCAAACGGTACAAGACAAGGCTGCCCACTCTCCCCGATAATATTTATGTCAGGAATGGACTTGCCAATAATGGTGGGACTCACCTGCCTTGTGGGCTGCAGTACCAGGGCTGGCCAGCAGGTGCTCTCAGCAATCAGAGACTCACCCCTGCAGTCAGCCAAACACCTGAAGCTGATCGCAGGGGTTGTATTTAAGGAATGACCAGACTCACAGTCAGGGTCTTGGTGTGTGTTTTTTCCATGGGCCCCTGTATCTTGTATCCTGTGTTCCTGTTTCTGCCTGACTTGTTGCCGACCCTGCCTGATCCTGACCTCTGCTGACTTCTCCTGTTCGATCCCTGGCTTGTGACCCTGACCATTCTCTGCCTGACCCTCTGCACCACGCTGCCCGTGAGTTACTGAACCCAGCTTGTGAAACTGACCACTCTCCCGCCTGTTCCTGGTACTCCGTTTGCCCGTTTGCTACTGACCCGGCCTGCCTGACGACTCTTGCATTGTATGTATTGTTATCTGTAGGTGGTTTGGTTTGGTTTGTTTGCACTGTGTTTATGTTTAGTTTTGCACTGCGTTTTGTATTGTTAGTCTTAATAAATCATATTGTTTATACCATATCTGAGCCCTGACATTACACCAAAGCCAATCCTGACCAGAAGTGGCTGCACAGGGAAGCCATCTTGGCTTATTGTTGCTGGGAAGGATGGATCTTGATGAGGTGGTGTATTTATCTCTGCTAGTGTTTGATGACAAAGACTATGCTTATCAGACTCTGAAGGAATATCCCAGGGATCAACTACTAGAGTGTATAAGGATCGCTCATTGCCTAGTAGATCAGGGCACAGAGTTTTCTGAGGTGCAGCCATTGATCCAGGTTTGTGCTGAGTTGGCTCGGTCCTGTACCCCTGAAAGCAGGAATGACTTTTTTCCCCCATTTAGTGTGGATCAAGTGGAATCACTAGTATGGTTGTTGGAGGATGATCCAGATAGCTTCCATGAGCATTATGCAGCTTGTCCATCACATGTGCTTATGGATTGCATAAACGCAGTGCAGTCTTTGATCAGACAGGCAATGTGTAAGCTGAGTTTTGTTCAACCAGTACTGCAGACATGAACAGATTTGTTGCACCCAGCCTCAGTCAGCTTGCAACATCATTCCTCTGCTCAAGGCACTCTTCCTGCATCCCCGACAGCACCCCCAGTGACAGCCCAGTATACTCTGCTAACTACCACATACCAGTCCCCTGCTCCCACTCGCTGCACCTATCCTTTCTTTAACCCTGTAAAGAAGTTCTCTGTAGCAACTGCTCCCTCCTCTGTTCCATCCTCCAGCTCTTCTCTGTCTTTAGCTGCTCCATTCGTTTACAGACCTGCGTTTACTTACAGTGCTCCAGTAACTAAAACCAGAAAAAAGCGAAAATTCTTTCCAACCAGTACCATCCTGCCAGTATCCAAACCGGTCAGCCTGCCGTCTGAGAACCCACCTTCTGTGGTTCAGCCTGGTGCCTCGGCACCCGCAATTCAGCCTGATGTCTCTACCCAGCCTGATGTCTGTACCCAGCCTGATGAACTGATCCAGCCTAATGATCCTATCATGCCAGACGACCCGATGCCCGCTGTTGAGCCAGACGATCCAATGCCTGATGACCCAGTGCCTGCTGTCACGCCTGGTGACCCGATGCCCACTGTCGAGCCAGACGATCCAATGCCTGATGACCCAGTGCCCACTGTCATGCCTGGTGACCCGATGCCTGCTGTCGAGCCAGACGATCCAATGCCTGATGACCCAGTGCCCGCTGTCATGCCTGGTGACCCGATGCCCACTGTCTTGCCAGATGACTCGGTGCCTGCTGTCGAGCCAGATGACCTGATGCCTGGTGACCCGATGCCCGCTGTGGAGCCAGACGATCCAATGCCTGATGACCCAGTGCCCGCTGTCATACCTGGTGACCCAATGCCCGCTGTCGAGCCAGATGACCCGGTGCCCGCTGTCATACCTGGTGACCCGATGCCCGCTGTCATGCCAGTTGACTCAGAGCCCGCTGTCGTGCCTGGTGACTCGGTGCCCACTGCCTTGCCAGATGACTCGGTGCCCGCTGTCGAGCCAGATGACATGATGCCTGGTGACCCGATGCCCGCTGTTGAGCCAGATGACCCGGTGCCCGCTGTCGAGCCAGACGATCCGGTACCTGATGACCCGGTGCCCGCTGTCGTGCCAGTTGACTCAGAGCCTGCTGTCGTGCCTGGTGACTCGGTGCCCACTGCCTTGCCAGATGACTCGATGCCCGCTGTTGAGCCAGACGATCCAATGCCTGATGACCCAGTGCCCGCTGTCATACCTGGTGACCCGATGCCCGCTGTCAAGCCAGACGATCCAATGCCTGATGACCCAGTGCCCGCTGTCATGCCTGGTGACCCGATGCCCACTGTCGTGCCTGATGACCCGATGCCCACTGTCGAGCCAGATGACCCGATGCCTGATGACCCAGTGCCCGCTGTCGTGCCTGGTGACCCGATGCCCGCTGTTGAGCCAGATGACCCGGTGCCTGCTGTTGAGCAAGACGATCCAATGTCTGATGACCCGGTGCCTGCTGTCGTACCTGGTGACCCGATGCCCGCTGTCGAGCCAGATGACCCGGTGCCCGCTGTTGAGCCAGACGATCCGGTACCTGATGACCCGGTGCCCGCTGTCGTGCCAGTTGACTCGGAGCCCGCTGTCGTGCGGTTGACTCAAAGCCCGCGGTCTTGCCAGATGACTCGGTGCCCGTGGTCTTGCCAGATGACTCGATGCCTGCCGCTCCGTCTGGGGGCCCGGTGCCCGCTGCTCCGCCTGGGGGCCCGGGGCCCGCCGCCCTGCCTGGTGGCCTGGTGCCTGCCGCCCCGCCTGGTGGCCCGGTGCCTGCTGCTCCATCTGGTGGCCCGGTGCCTGCTGCCCTGCCTGGTGGCCCGGTGCCTGCTGCCCTACCTGGTGGCCTGGAGCCCGCTGCTCCGCCTGGTGACCCGGTGTCAAGCCCGATGTGCCTCTGTCCGGCGTCCAGCCCGATGTGCCTCTGTCCGGCGTCCAGCCCGATGTGCCTCTGTCCGGCGTCCAGCCCGATGTGCCTCTGTCCGGCGTCCAGCCCGATGTGCCTCTGTCCGGCGTCCAGCCCGATGTGCCTCTGTCCGGCGTCCAGCCCGATGTGCCTCTGTCCGGCGCCCCGCCCGATGTGCCTCTGTCCGGCGCCCCGCCCGATGTGCCTCTGTCCGGCGCCCCGCCCGATGTGCCAGTCTTTGATATCCCGACAGTTACCGGACCCGGGCGGTGGAACATTTTGCCCAGCTAGGACTGAGGCCGCTCCTTGAGGGGGGGTACTGTCAGGAATGGACTTGCCAATAATGGTGGGACTCACCTGCCTTGTGGGCTGCAGTACCAGGGCTGGCCAGCGGGTGCTCTCAGCAATCAGAGATTCACCCCTGCAGTCAGACAAACACCTGAAGCTGATTGCAGGGGTTGTATTTAAGGAATGACCAGACTCACAGTCAGGGCCTTGGTGTGTGTTTTTCCATGGGCCCCTGTATCTTGTATCCTGTGTTCCTGTTCCTGTTTCTGCCTGACTTGTTGCCGACCCTGCCTGATCCTGACCTCTGCTGACTTCTCCTGTTCGATCCCTGGCTTGTGACCCTGACCATTCTCAGCCTGACCCTCTGCACCGCGCTGCCCGTGAGTTACTGAACCCAGCTTGTGACCCCCAACCACTCTCCCGCCTGTTCCTGGTACTCCGTTTGCCCGTTTGCTACTGACCCGGCCTGCCTGACGACTCTTGCATTGTATGTATTGTTATCTGTAGGTGGTTTGGTTTGTTTGCACTGTGTTTATGTTTAGTTTTGCACTGCGTTTTGTATTGTTAGTCTTAATAAATCATATTGTTTATACCATATCTGATGCCTGCGTTTCCCTGTGTCAGTCCACACACCTCTGGTCATACCCGGAGCCCTGACAATTTACACTCCTTATTGAACCCCTAGCTTCCAAACTCAGAGAGGATAGAACGTTCACAGGAATTATGCATCTTAGCATGGAACACAAAATCAGCCTATTTGCGGACGATATAATACTAATGGTGACCAACCCTAAAAAATCCTTCCAAACGATTTGCTCACACCTATTTACTTACTCAACAGTTTCATATTACAAACTTAATGAACCCAAATCTTCCATACTTAACCTTCACATCTCAGCCCAACTCCAAACCCAACTAACCAAACAATTCCCATTTCCATGGGAAGCAAACAGCATTCCTTACCTAGGCATCAGACTCAAACCAGTGACAGAACATCTATATACAGCAAACCACAAAATATTGCTTGAAACTATACCCCGAGAACTAAACACTTTACGCACTCAGAACTCTCCAAACTAGGCCACGTGGTGAAACTAAAAATGTATATTTTACCCAAAATTTTGTATATATTCCGCACACTCCCCTTACCAGTCCCTAATTCATTCTTCTCTAAACTACAAACAATTCTCACAAAATTCATATGGAACTCGAAAAAACCGAGATGTACCACCAATCTTCTAAGTAGACCTACAACTAAAGGAGGAGCAGGACTCCCACACCTCAAATCTCATTACACAGCTACCCTCTTAGACCAATTATATTTCTGGTGGAATCCTTCTAAGGAAAAAATCTGGTCCATAATGGAAACCCTCCCTTTTCAACCACTTAAACCCCAAAATATACTCTTGACCCCACCGTCCAAACGTATGGAATCCCAACTAAATCATCCCTGCATTGTATCCTCCCTACAAGCTTGGCGGAACCTTCTAAATTCAAAGACATTAAACATATACCTACTCCAACCAACATACTACACCTCATCATTCCCTCACTGGACCTATTTCAATAGACAAAACAAGGAATAACCAACATAAGGGACCTCTACACCAATCAATCCTTTTACCCCTTCCAAACTCTTCAATCCAAATACAATATTCCTACTGCTGAAAATTTTGCATACCTCAGAATCGCTCATTGTCTACTAACAACTAACTTACCCCACAATACTATAATACCAACTACAGCCTACATCTTCTTCACCAAACCCCAATACCCGGGTAAAGGAATATCCACTTTCTATACACACCTCATAAACTCACAATTTACTCTACAAACGACTTCCCTAACCAATTGGGAAAAAATCCTTTCAGCCCAAATAACTTTAAAATGCTGGGAAAATACCCTTCAGCATCACTTATAAAGCTACCCGATGTAGCTCCCATTGGGAGTCATACTTAAAAATACTCCACCAATGGTACCTGACCCCGGTTAAACTTTCCATCTACTACCCGTAACAGTCTCCTACATGCTGGAGACTCTGTGGTGAGCCAGGCTCAATAATCCACATTTTGTGGTCATGCAAATCACTTCGTTCCTTCTGGAATACTACATTCCAATTAATCTCTGAAATAAACAAAATTCCATTAGTCCCGAACCCCTCATTAGCACTCCTACACATCGGAATCGAGAAACTCCCTTCCCACTCCCGAACAATTATTACCCACATACTCCAAAATTAATATTACTAGATTATGGAACACAAATAATACCCCCTCAATCACTTCATTAATTACAGACCTTAACACTCACTGTCAAATGGAAAAACTATCTGCAATTAATACTTCCTCCTACCACAAATTCAACATCCAGTGGACCCGATGGCTAAACCAGCCAAAATGTTATATACAACCCTGATGACATCTCAAGAGATGAATTCACACCCCACACCAAGACTGGTATTTCCTCAGTTCCCCAGTTATATTCCTCCCTCCCCAATCCTACCCTCCCCCACCTCTCCACTAACACCCCCCCCAATTCCCCAAACTCCTCACCAAGGTTCTTCAAATGCACACAAATACCACTGATGATATTGCTGAACAAGACCAAACTTCATCTGTCCAGCGGATCTACAACAAAATGATCAACCATATTTTGTCTACTGTAATGTTGTATGATTGAACCTTATCTCTTTTCCCTGTTTTTCCCTGTTTATCTTTGAAAAACTCAATAAAAATATTGAAACATAAAAAGAAAAAAAGGAAAAGAAAGTAAAAGGAAAGAGGGGAAGGAGGTAAAAGATGGGAAACGGAAGATAGGAAGTTGGGGAAGAAGAGAGGGAGATCTTGAGATTATTAGAGGAAGGGAAGGAACTGGGAAAAATAGGGGTAAAAATTGGGTGGGTATGAGGATCTTGGGTGTAATGTGAAAAGAAGGAAGTTTTTCTTTGATTGTTTTGTGGAATGATGTGATTATAGAATTTTGTAATATTGAAAGAGAAAGCAAATTAATTTAATACTTTCTTCAGCTCTGTATATACAAATGAGCATGGGGGAGCTCTTGTCCATAATGGGCAAAGTATTGACACAGCTCCAGATGATCCATATTGGCTCACAATTGATATGATCCAAAAATATATAGACAGAATAAGGTGAATAAAGCACCTGGACCGGATGGCAAACACCCACGGGTCCTTAAAGAATTGAGCTCTGTCATTTCAAAGCCATTGTTTCTAATTTTTAGGGACTCTTTAATGACTGGCATAGTACCACTGGATTGGCGCAAGGCCAATGTGGTGCCAATATTTAAAAAGGGGTCAAAATCTTTACCAAGTAATTACAGACCTGTTAGTTTAACTTCTATAGTTGGGAAGATACTGGAGAGTTTAATAAAAGACCACATAGATGAGTTCTTGCTGGAAAAAAATATTTTAAGCAACAGACAGCATGGATTCAGGAAAGACAGAAGTTGTCAAACAAATCTGATTTCTTTTTATGAGGGGGTGAGCAAAACTTTGGACAGAGGGGTGGCGGTGGACGTGGTATGCTTGTATTTTGCAAAAGCGTTTGACACAGTTCCCCACACACGGCTAATGTGTAAGGTAAAGTCTATGGGCTTGGAAAAATCTGTATGTAAATGAATAGAAAACTGGCTAAAAGATTG